AATATTTCTTGAAATAAATGAAAATAAAAACAAAACATACTAATAAGACTCATGGGATAGAGCAAAAGCAGTGCTAAGAGAAAAAGTTTGTAAAAATAACTGTACAATAAGTAGAAAGATTTCACATGGAAACATGAACAACCAAGAATAGCCAAAACAATCCTCAGAAAAAAAAAACAAACAAAAACAGGAGGTATCACACTCCTTGATTTTAAACTATATTATAAAATGACAATAATCAAAACAGCCTGGCATTGACAAGAACAGGTATATAGAACAATGGAATATAGTTGAGATTCCAGAAGAAAAACCACATTTTCTCAATCAATTCATCTTTGACAAAGCCTCCACCACTCACTACTGGGGAGAGGAGAACCTATTCAGTAAACGGCGCTGGGAAAACTGGTTGACCACCTGCAGAAGATTGAAACAGGACCCCTACCTATCTCCATACACAAAAATTAACTCTAGATGAATCACAGACCTAAATGTAAAACTTTAACTGTAAGAACCTTAGAAAATTCAAGAGACACTATTATGAAAGTTGGAACTGGCATCCAATTCCTGAACAAAACTCGAAACCCACAGGCCATAAGGGATAAGATAGACAAGTGGGACCTCATTAAACTGACAAGCTTCTGCAAAGTAAAAGAAACCATTGAGAGAGGGAGACAGCCCAAAGACTGGGAAAAAATATTTGCCAACTCCATGTCTGACGAAGGCCTAACATCAAGGATCTACAAGGAACTCAAACACGCTGAAAAGAAAAATACAAACAACCCCATTACAAAGTGGGCAAAAGACATGTATAGACACTTGTCAAAAGAAGACATACAAACAGTCAACAGATACATGAAAAATGTTCAGCCTCACTAGTCATCAAGGAGATGCAAATTAAAACTACACTGAGGTACCACCTAACTCCAGTCAGCATGGCCATCATCAATAACTCAAAAAATAACAGATGCTGGAGAGGATTTGGCAAAAAGGAAACACTTCTACACTGTTGGTGGGAGTGTAAACTAGTACAGCTTCTGTGGAAATCAGTGTGGTGATTTCTAAAAGTTCTAAAAATTGACCTTCCATATGACCTCACAATTCCCCTACTGGGAATATACCCGGAAGAACTCAGGTCACTCTATGAAAAAGACACCTGCACACGTATGTTTATCACAGTATTGTTCACAATAGCAAGAACATGGAACCAACTGTGCTGCCCATCAAAAGAGGACTGGATTTTTAAAATGTGGTACATATATATAATGGAATACTATGTAGCCATAAAGAAGAACAAAATCATGAATCTAGCAGCAACCTGGATGGAATTAGAGTATATAATACTGAGTGATCTCTCCCAGAAACAAAGAGCTGAGTATCACATGTTCTCACTCATAAGTGGATCTTGAACAACTACTGTATTACTATAAGAAAAAGATTGAAAGTGGTGAAAATTTTTGGGGGGATGGGGCGATTGGGGAGGTGGGATTGACAGTAGTTGATATCTGCCTGGGAAAGGGTGGGGGGCATAGCTCATCAATAAGGGTACTTGTATGGTGAATATTTGTACACCTAGCCCTGAATTGTACCCCACAATTTGAAAATAAAAATTAAAAGAGGAAAAAAGTAAACGTACAAGTAGAAGGATTTCACATAATCTAACAATACTCTGGAAGAAGCTAGAAAAGCAAGTACAAGACAAACCTGCAATTATTAGAAGGAAAGAAATAATAAAGATCAGCCATACCTAAGCAAAACAGGAACTAAAAAAAAAATAGGGTCAACAAAAGATAATGTGGGTTTTGTGGAAAAATCTATAAATCTTTCTATAAATCTATATACTGCTGGTAGGCTAACCAAGAAAAAAAAAGAGAAGGCCCAAATAAACAAAATCAGAAATGAAAAAGGAGTATTAAAATTGACATCATAAAAATACAAAAGATCATCAAACACTATTACTAACAACTATACCCTAATAAACTGAAAACCTTACTTGAAAAGGATAAATCCTGGACAGATACAACCTATTAAGATTAAGTCAGGGAAAAACAGAGAACCTGAACAGACTATTAATAAGTAATTAGATTAAATCAGTAATTAAAAAAAAGTCTCTCAGCAAAGAAAAGCCCAGGACCAGATGGCTTCACTGTTGAATTCTATAAAACTTACAAAGAAAAACTAACACTAATTTTCCTCAAACTATTCTAAAAATTCAAGTGGAGGTAATTCTATTTTATTTTATGAGGCCAGAATTGCTCTGATATCAAAACCAGACAAGAACACAACAACAACAAAAGAAAACCTCAGGCCAATATCCATGATGAAAAAGGCACAAAAATTCTTAACAAAATACTAGAAAAACAAACCCAATAGAACATCAAAAAGATAATATGTACTGATCAAGTGGGATTTATCTTAGGGATGCAAGGATTATTCAAAATACACAAATCAGTAAATATAATATCACATCAAAGAATGAAGGGCAAAAACCATTGCCTATCTCCATAGATGACTAAAAGCATTTGCTAAAATTCAATATTTTTTTATGACAAAAGCTCACAAGAAACAAGATATAGAAAGAACATACCTCAATATACTAAAGCCTATATGACAAACTTACAGCTTAAATCATACTGACTGGAGCAAAAGTGAAGGCCTTTCCTCTAAAATCGGGAACAAGACAAGGACATTGACTTTCATCATTCTTTTTCAGTCTAGAACTGGAAGTTTTAGCCAGCGCAATCAGGCAAAAGAAAGAAATGAAAGGCAACTAATTTAAAAAAGAGGAAGTCAAATTGTAACTTTTTGCAGATGACATTATCTTATATTTAGAAGAACCTAAAGACTTCAAAAAATTATTAGCTTTATAAACAAATTCAGTAAAGTCACAGAATACAAAATCAACATACAGTAATCAATAATGTTTATATACATCTATAATAAAATATCTGAAAAAAATCAAGAAGCAATGCCATTTACAATAGCTACAAAAATACCTAAAAATAAATTTGACCAAACAGGCAAAAGACCTCTTCAAGAAAAACTACAAAACACTGCTAAAATAAATTGAAGAGGACAAACTAAAAATGGAAAGAAATTTCATGCCTGTGGATTAGAAGAATTAATATTTTTAAATGTCCACAGTATTATACCAAAAACAATCTATAAATTTAGTGTAATCCCTATCCAAATACTAATGACATTTTTCAACAGAAATAGAAAAAACAATCTGAAAATTTATATAGAACTAAAAAATGCCTCAGATAGTTAAAGAAATCCTGAGTAAAATGGACAAAGCTGAAGCATAAACCACCTGACTTCAGTATATACTAAAAGGCTACAGTAGCCAAAACAGCATAGTATTGGTATAAAAACTGACATGTAGACCAGTAGAACAGAATACAGAACCCAGAACTAAATCCAAGTATTTACAACCGATTTATTTTCAGTGAAGTTGCCAATAACACATACTGGGGAAAGAACAGTTTCTTTACTGAATAATTCTGGGAAAACTGGATATTCATATCCAGAAAAATACAAGTAGACACCTAGATATCACTGTACACAAAATCAACTCAAGATAGATCAGACTAAAATGGAAGACCTGAAACTAGAATATTACTTGAAGAAAACATAGGAAACAGTACAGAACATTGATCTAGACAAAGGTTTTATGGCTAAGACCTCAAAAGCACAGGCAATAAAAACAAAAATAGACAAATGTGACTACATTAAACTAAAAAAGCTTCTGCACAGCAAAAGAAGTAAACAAGAGAGTAAAAGGACAATTAACTAAATGGGAAAAAAATATTTGCAAGCTATCTCTCTAGTAAGGGCCTAATATTCAATATATACAAGGAACTCAAAACAAGTCAACTGGGAAAAAAAGAATAATCCCATTAAAAAGTTGACAAAGACATAAATAGACATTTTGGTAAAAGAAGATATACAAATGGTCAACAGGTATATGAAGATATTGTCAGCACCATTGGTCTTCAGGGAAATGCAAATCAAAACCACAATGTGACATCATCTCACTCCAGTTAAAATGGCTATTGTTAAAAAGACATAGAGTGACAGATACAGATGAGGATATATTGAAAAGGGAACTCATAACATTGTTGGTGGGAATGTAAAGTAGTACTGCCATTATGGAAAACAGTATGGAGAGTTCTCAAATCTAAAAACAGACATACCATATGGTCCAGCAATCCCACGACTTGGTATTTATCCAAACAAAAGGAAATTAGCATATCTAAGAGATATCTGTACCTCCATGTTTTATAATACTATTCACAATAGCCAAGATATGGAATTAACCTAAAGTCCATCACTGGATGAATGGATAAACAGAATGTTGTGTACATATATAATGAAATACTACTTGACTATAAAAAGGCATAAAATCCTGTCATTTACAGTAACTTGGGTGGAAATGGCAGTCATTACATTAAGTGCAATGAGCCAGGCACAGAAAGACAAAAGTTCACATATTCTCTTGCCTATGTGGGACCTAAAAAAAGTTGATCTCATGGTGATGGAGGGTAGAATGATGATTACTTGAGTTTTAAGGAGTAAGTGTGTGTTGGGGGAGGTAAGGTAGGTTGATTATTGCATACAAATATGTAGTCAGGTACAAGTAATAAGTTCTAGTGTCTGATGGCAGAGCAGGATAACTATATTCAATGACAATGTATTATATATTTCAAAATAGCTAAAAGAGAAGACTTGAAATATTTCCAACACATAGAAATAATAAATACTTATGATGAGAATACTTAGAATACCCTGTCTTGTTCATTATAATTCTATGCATGTAACAAAATAAAAGAACCCCATAAATATATGTGAATATGATGTATCAATAAAACATTTTAAGAATAATTAAAATGGTAACAAAAAAAAAGATTAAAAGTAGTCCTGCTGATCAAAATGCAGATAGATTTTTTTTCCCACAAATCAGTGTACTAACATGTTTTATTTATTTTATTATTTATTTTCAGGGGCAAAGGTCCACTAAAGCATACAACTGATGTGATCTATGCAGCTAAAATGATATCAGAATCAGGATCAAGGATGGATGTTCTTGCTCGGCAGATTGCCAATCAGGTGAGTTATTTACAAACGGACATGGTAAAACTCCATGCTAATTGCTCCCTGCTGTTTGAACATTGATTAGAGTAGATTAGAATTTTTACTTCATTTGAACATTTTTCTAAATTATCATTGAATTTTTAAAATATTATTAATTGAGGTGAGTGGATTGCCTGAACCCGCGGGTTCGAGACCTGCCTGGGCAGCAAGAACTCATCTCTACAATAAATCAAAATATCAGCCGGGCGTGGTAGCACATGCCTGTAATTCCTGCTACTTGGAAGGCTGAGGCGGAAGGATCGCCGGAGCCCAGCAGGTCAAGGCTGCGGTGGCCGGGAGCGGCCATTGCACTCCAGTCTGGGCGACAGAGTGAGACTCCAACTCAAAAAAAAAAAAAAAAAAAATATATATATATATATATATATATATATGCACACACATATATTATTAATATACACATAATGGACAAGTAAATATAAGAAAGCTTAGTTATTTCTTTGGGTAGATTTTTTTAAAACTTTAAGTATAATCAAATTATTTTAAATATTAGCTTTTTCAGCTTCAAATATACTAAATTTATTTTAGTTGGTTGTAACAACAAAAGTGAGTTTTTGTTGTTATCTTAGATTTCTTTCTTTTTTTGTCTATGTATTTAAAATTTTTTTTTATTTGTAATTGACATATAATAGTTGTACATATCTGTGGGTTACATGTATTATTTTTATGGTCTGTATATACTGTGTGTTGATCAAAACAAGGCAATTATCATATATTACACCTCAAACATTTATCACGTTTTTGTTTTGCAAACATTCAAAATTGTCTCATATAGTTATTTTGAAATATACAATAAATTATTGTTAACGATATTCAGCCTATACTGTTATAGAACACTAAAATTTTTCCCTCCTAATTTCATTTTTTGTACTTATTAACCAAATTCTCCTTATCCTTCTCTCCCCTCTCCTCCTCCCAGCTTCTGGTCGCCACTATTTTATTCATTATTTCTATGACTTGAATGAAGGTGCATGATATTTGCCTTTCCAGCCCTGACTTATATCACAATGTCCTCCAAGCTCATTCATGTTGCCACAAATGACAGGATTTTATTCTTCTATATGCCTGGATACTCTATTGTCTATATATACCACATTTTATTTACTGATTCATCCATTGATGGACACATAGTTTCATTCCATATCTTGATTGTTGTAAATAGTGCTCCCATACACATGGAAGTACAGGTATCTCTTCAATATACTTATTTCCTTTCCTTTGGATAAATACACAGTAATGGGATTGTTGGATCATATGGTAATTCTATTTTGTTTTCTGAGATATCTCCATACTGTTTTCCATAATGACAGTACCAGTTTACATTTCCAAAAACAATGTCTGAGGGTTCCTTTTTCATTTTTTCCTCACTAGTGTCTGTTACTTTTTGCCTTTTTAATAATAGGCATTTTAAGTAGAATGAGATGATATCTCATGGTTTTGATTTGCATTTCCCTGATGATTAGTGATGTAGAACATCTTCCCATATACTTGTTGGCCATTTGTATGTCTTCTTTTGAGTTATGTGTATTCAAATAATTTGCCCATTTTAAAATCATATTTTTATTTTTCTCTTGAGTTGTTTGAGCTCCTTGTGTATTCAGGTGGAGTGTTTAGGTTTTTCCAATTACAAGATCATGTCAGCCGGGCTCAGTGGCTCAGCCTGTAATCCCGCGCCTTTGGGAGGCTAAGGTGAGTAGATTGCCTGAGCCCGAGGGTTCGAGACCCGCCGGGTCAGCGAGACCTCATCTCTACAATAAATCAAAAATCAACCGGGTGTGGTAGCGCGCGCCTGTAGTTCCAGCTACTTGGAAGGCTGAGGCGGAAGGATAGCCAGAGCCCAGCAGGTGGAGGCTGCAGTGGCCGGGAGCAGCCACTGCACTCCAGTCTGGGCAGCAGAGTGAGACTCCAACCCCCCCCCCCAAAAAAAATCATGTCATCTGCAAAGAGACGATTTTACTTCATCATTTGCAATTTGGATGCACTTTATTTTTTTTTCCTCTTGCTTAATTGATCTGGCTAGGACATTCAGTTCTATGCTGAATAAAAGTGGTCAAAGATCTTAGAGAAAAGGCTTATAGGGTTTTTAAAAATCCTTTTTGCTATTCAAAAATCAATATATTTCAATATTTAAGTATATTTTCTGTATCAACAATATATTCTAGTATTTTATTTTAAATTGAAGGAAACCATATTTAATAGAATACTAAAATAAAGCTAGAATGTGTATGAAGTATATAATTACTATAGAGATATGTTTATAATCATTGGTTCCTTTGGTTTGGGATTTCTCATGTCTATTCTGATATTTCTAAGCAGATAAATTATTAGACTCACTTTATGCTTAACTTTAATTTAAAAATTAGTTGGTTTCATTAGTTAATGTGTTGAGACAGTCAATTAATATTTCAGACTGGGGTGTGATATTACTTTGCAGCTTTTGTAATACATTCAACTATATAATACATATTTATTTCCCTTTGGGAAAAACTCATTTTATTTATTTTGCAGCTTTCCACATTATTTCTTGCTTATATATTCGGAAGGAAATTTTATTGGACTGCTATTTATTATGATTACCATTATTCACTCTACTTCTTGGAACATGAAGAACTCTCTCCTATTAGATATTATATTTGTGAATATAAGGAAAGAGAAACAAGGACAAATAATAGTGGATAAAAAATTTGAAATCATTCTTAAACATATGGGTCTTTTTAGTACATTGTTACTTTAATCATTATAAAAATGTTATTAATCTTGTTTATTTGTATTTACAGTTAAAACAAACTTTATCCTAATGTAAGTCAAAATTTTCTACTCTGAAAAAATGACTGAAGCCTATGTATTTCCATGTTTTTTCTTCTTTTAAAGCTTTACTGCAAACACTTTTATGACAAAGGCTAAGTCTTTTTGGAATAATTGAAATCATAGTACATAGACAGATTTACATGTACTAATAATGTTTAGATGCTGATGCTTCTTACCATTTTTCTTCTGTTTCTTTTGGAACACACAATTTTCAAAACTCAAATAATTGTGTCACTTTAAGTTTTGTTATATTGATATTCTTTTTTAATTGGATCAGATCACCTTGAAGTAGGTACTTTAATAATGTAACTTTATTAAATTATGCCATTGTTTTTAGCATTATTCAAATTGTATGAGAGAAAGCAAAAGTATCATCTCAGTTCCATGTAGCTTTGACATTTTAAGAGAAGCTTACAGAAGCAGTCACTGACTAATGAAGAATTATGGATGACTCTCTTTGGCCTTTTCCATTTCATATATAAAGGAGTTTCAAGTGAATTACTTTTATTCTGAACCAATACAATTCTACAGAATCGAAATTGAGAATAAAGAAACTGATTCAGTTATTACAGTGATCATCTAGGGAGATTGTGAGTGTGCTTCTAATACTATTTGATGGATTAACAAAACTTTAGACAAAAAATAATGTCTGAAATTGATTGTGGAATGCAATTGAGTAAAGTGAATAAGGTGATTTTCAGCGTCTATATTTTTCTGATACTTTGGTTGCTTTCTATTTTGATCAATCTAATCGTTCAAAAGATTTTAACAATCTTTGTAATGCCTTTTTGTCTGATTTTTTGCTGGATTGTCACCAGGTCAAACACCAGTTAATTTCAAATTTCACCTAACATGGCTCTAAAATTGGTATTTATATTTATATATTATATTATACTATTTTAATGGTAGAATCAGTTTGGACGTGGTTGTTTCTCTTTTCCCCCCTTTATTTCAATAGCTTTAGGGGTTGCAAATGGTTTTTGCTTTGGACTTTAAGTGTATCCACCACCCCTATCTGTGCACATTGTATGCAAGAGGTGATTTTTTTTGTCTCTCCACCTCTTCGCCCCCTTCCTCTCTGAGTCTTCAGTATCCATTATGCCATTCTCTCTGTCTTTGGAGATCCTTAGATTAGCTTTCACTTATAAGCGAGAACATGCAGTGTTTGTTTTTTTGTTCCTGAATTAGTTGACTTAGGACATTTTCCAGTTTCATCCAAGTTGCTGCAAAATACATTATTTGATTCTTTTTGATAGCTGAATAGTATTCCATAGTATATGAGTATATACCACATTTTCATTATCCACTGATAAGTTGATGGGCATTTAAGTTGATTTCACATCTTTGAAAATGTGAACTGTGCTGTGATGAACATATGGATGCAGGTGTCTTTTTTATATAATGAGCTCTTTAGGGTAGATACCTAGCAGTGTATTACTGGATCAAATGGTAGATCTACTTTTAGTTCTTTGAGAAATCTCCATACCAATTTCCATAGAAGTTACACTAATCTGCATTCCCATCAACAGTATATAAGTATGTAAGTGTTCCTTTTTCTCTGCATTTGGGCTATCATCTAGTGTGTGTGTGTGTGTGTGTGTGTGTGTGTGTGTGTGTGTGTGTGTGTGTGTGTGTGTGTGTGTGTGTGTGTTTAATGATGCCCATTCTGACTGGTGTAAGTGATAACTCATTGTGGTTTTGAGTTGCCTTTCCTTGACAATTAATGATGTTGAACATTTATTTTATATGTTTTTTGGCCATTTGTGCATCTTCTTTTCAGAGATATCTGTTCATTTTGTTTTTCCACTTTTTAATGGAGTTATTATTTGCTTTTTTCTTGTTGAATTGCTTGAATTCTTTGGAGATTCTGGGTATTAGTCCTTTTTCAGATGTATAGTTTGTGAATATCTTCCCCCATTCTGTGGGTTGCTTATTTGTTCTGTTTATTTTTTAAATTTTTTTTATTTTTGCCATGCAAAAGCTTTTCAGTTTAAGTCCCATTTGTTTATTTTTGTTGTTGCATTTGCTTTTAGGATTTAACCATAAATTATTTACCTAAGTCAACGTCCAGAAGAGTTTTTCCTAGGTTTTCCTAGGATTTTTAGGGATTCAGTTTTGATATTTGAGTCTTTAGCCGATCTCGAGTTAAT